AGTGAAAAACTTGCACCTGCATGTAAAAATAAACATAAATGCATTGTGTTTTTAAAAGTACTGGTCTTGATGTATTCGTGAGTTTTGTTTAATTATAAATGTATGGCTGTATGTGTGTATGCTTATTTGATGCTAGCTATTTTTTCATCATTCATACACTACCTGACAAAAGCCTTGTTGCCTATTAACGTTTTAGGAACAACAAATAGTAACTTGACTTCTAGTTGATCATTTGCTATCAGAAGTGGCTTATATGAAAGGCAAAGGCCTCAAGATTATGCTTATTTTATTAAAACTGAATATGATCGGTCTATATATAATATGAAAAGGTCTGACTTTGCTTAGACAAAAGTCTTGTCACTTAACATAAATAATGTACATTATAGAATAAAGTCATGGTGCAGTGGAGAAATAATTAACATTGTGGATGACTCCCATGAGCTTGGAGGACTGCATCCATACATCTCTGCAATGACTCAAATAAAAAATACTGGAATAGCAATAGTTCTTGCGGGACTCCTAGAGTTCATAGTCTGTTTGGATTCATCTTCAATGCTTCCTCCTGTATCTTACCCCAGACATGCTCAATAATGTTCATTTCTAGTGACTGGGCTGGCCAATCCTGGAGCACCTTGACCTTCTTTGCTTTCAGGAAGTATGATGTGGAGCATTGAGCATGTCTGGGGTAAAATGGAGGAGAAGGCATTGAAGTTGAATCCAAAGAATCTTGATGAAGTCTGGGAGTGCTGCAGGAACGCTTTCTTTGCCATTCCAGATGACTTTATTAATCAGTTATTTGAATCTTTGTAGAGATGTATTGAAAATCTATTTAAAAACATGATCATATTTTATTTTGGTAAAATAAGCGTAATCTAGAGGCCTTTGCCTTTCATAAAAGCCCCTTCTGATATCAAATGATCAACTAGAAGTCAACTTATTATTTGTTGTTCCAAAAACTTGGATAGGATACAGGACTTTTGTCAGGTAGAGTACAGTATGTACAAATCAGGGACTTTATATAAAGAATAAACATTGCGTAAAACCCATAACAGTACATTTTTTATCTTTGACAGAATTGAAACAATAGTTTTTCCCCCAGAAATGTATTTTTTTGCACTTTTTACACGCCCTTATGTAATTCTAAACCTTTATGAGATCTTGTATTTATTTATTTATTGTTTACCGAAAACAAAACATATTTTGAAGAATGTTGGAAGCCGGTAGCTATTCACTTCTAGAGTCAATTGTTATCACATTTCAACATTCAACAGAATAAAGCAACTCAAATAACTCTGGTAGAAGTAAATCGAATGTTGACCGAGTTTTCATTTTTGGGTGAACTGAGCCTTTCATCTTTGTGAATCTGACAGGAACATGTTGAACTCACCAACATTGGACATCTCAGATACGCTGGCCACGTAGGTGTCCTTGGCGAACTTTGGCTCGTTGTCATTGATGTCATGGATTTTGATGATGAATTCGGAGGCCCTCTCCAGATCCTGTCCAGAGGTTTTGTTGACGGCTTTAGCGCTCAGAGTGTACGACGCTTTCTCTTCCCTGTCAAGCCTCCTGGTGGCATGAATATCGCCTGAGTTCTCATCAATCTCGAAAACAGTTCCAGCTCCTTCTCCGGTGAGGACGTACTTCACATTTCCATCTTCCGTGTCCATGTCTGAGTGAAGCTTTAAAAAGAGCAAAGAGAGTTTTGCTGGAATTAACAGTTCCCGAATTAAGTGTTTTCCTAGCGCGACTGGCAAATTGTGCGCAAATATGCTTAGTCTGTCAGGGAAAAATGTTCCTAAACCTTGTGCAAAGGGAAACAGAAATTAAACCATTTGCTAAACACAGTTTAAGCCCTTTCTGGCCCAAGTTTCTTGAGCAATGTTTTTTAAATGAGTCATGAATATGTGAATATGAATGTGAATTTGCTCAAAGGCTCCACTTGGTTTAATTTTCTTTCTTTGGAAATTTCACAGCAGTGTCAGTAATAATTTCAGAATTTCAAAAAGCTCTGTGTTTGCCGTGGTTAACGACATATGGCAGATATCTCAGAAAACTTGTGAATTGACTCCTTTACCTTCACACTGTAGTCACAATTACGGCAAATGCTCCTTCAGAGCAGAACATGCACCTGGATGTAAACATTTACATGACAGCATATTTATAATGGGTTCCCCTTCGGTTGGGGAACTTCAGTGCCATGAATGGGAGGATTCGGATCAGAAGCCGCTTATCTGGAGAGTATTGAACGGGCCAATGAATGAAATTAATTGGCAGCGTAAGCTTGCGCAGGTGTGCGACATCTGCAATCATCTCAGCATATAAGCACACCTGAAGCCAGCAGACGCCATCCTTTTCGCTTCAGATCCTTTCTGAGTGAGTCGATGAGGGTTCCTCTTGCTGATCAGCACTTCAGAGCGAACGAGTGTGTCTCCCGGTCCAGAGTGGGTCTTCGCGGTGGCAGACGGTCGAGCTGGGTTACTCCCTTGCCTGCGGTTCT